TGAGACACCTTTGGGTAGTGAAGGGCGGGGTATAAATCTCTTGCTATAGTCCTGATAAGAGCTGTCCTTGAAAAAAAGCAGTTTCTGTTAGAGCTCTCTCAGCCCCACCCACCTCACAGGGTGTCTGTTGTGGGAAGGGAAAGGAGTTTGTAAGCCGCTCTGAGACACCTTTGGGTAGTGAAAGGCAGGGTATAAATCCAATTTCTTCTTCTTCTTCTTTTACCTCACAGGGTGTCTGTTGTGGGGAGGGGGAGGGAGAGGAGTTTGTAAGCCGCTCTGAGACTCCTTTGGGTAGTGAAGGGCGGGGTATAAATCCAATCTCCTCCTCCTCCTCCTCCTGCTTGTCAGGGATGCTCTAGGCTGATCCTGCATTGAGCAGGGGGTTGGATTAGATGGCCTGTCTGGCCCCTTCCAACTCTGCGACTCTTTGATTCTAAAAGCAGCCCCTGGAATAAGGGCAGCCAACCAGCGGCTTGCGGACTATAGGGATTTGGCCCTTGGTAAACCAACCCAATTTAAACCATTATTTTGATTATTATTATTTATAGAAAACCAAAATGAGCCTGCGATTTGTCTAATAAAAATGTGTGTGAAAGAGATTCTATACCCTACTACTGTGGTTTATCATTTCTCTACTCCCTCTCGGATACAGGACTGTCGGGCCCACGCGTAGGCTTTCCAGGTGCCTGCTAATGGCTAGCAAACTCCTGGTAATCGTTACGGTTGCCCGCCAGCGGTCATCGGGTCAGCAAGCAGAAGCAGGCTGGCAAAATGGGGGGGGGGGATCTTTGTTGCCATGCAAATGACATCACTGGGGCAACACTCTAGCACTTACTCAGAAACTCCATAGTGTTTGGGGGCAAGGGGTAGAGCATTGCCCCGGTGCAATGCCAGGTCGCACCAGAAGTGACATCATCGTGGAGTGACGGAGATCTCCCTGCAATAAGTACCCACTTCCCTCTGTCTCCCGCCAGTTCCCAACCCTATGCCCGATCTGGGCAAAGAGACTGAGTGGCTCAGCCAATCTGGCCACCTGGATCCATTGTTGCCAGAGGCACAGCCTTTTACTCTTGGCTAGCCACTTTCTAACCTGAACCAAAGTCCCCAAAAGTCAAGCACTCTCAGCTTGAACCACAGAGTCAGGCTGCAAGTACTCTGCAAAAAGGGATTTCATATTCAGGTGACAGCCAGGCAACCTCACAGCAAACTCCCAGTCTTCCCCCTCCACCCAGCAGAGATATGCTTATGGAATAACAGTAGGTTCCACCAGATGAAGTATCTACATTTCTAAAAGCTATTCAGAGGCCACCTGGCAAATAGCCCTGTCTCCGGAACCTCACCCAGCGCTTTTTGTGTGTCATCTCATGTCTATGTGTGAATTCTTTGTCCTTCCTGGCTCCATCCCTCAAGATACTAGGATAAACCGATCAAGCCTTCAAATAATTAACGATCCCTCCTGACACTAATCAGGGACCCATCTCCCACCTTTTGTCTATACTTGGGAACCTTTTTGGGAAACTATACTTGGGAAACACCCTGGCAGGACAATTAGTGGTCAGAAAACTAATTCAACTGGCCACCCAGCACCTGGCTGATCTAATTAAGGCTTTTCTTAAGCCTGACTCTGCCTCTCTGGAACTTCATTGGTCACATCCAGGCTTCTCATGTCAGTTTGGGATCCGTCTCACACAGAGGCAGCTGAAAAGACAGCCGTTAATTAATTAATTCAAGAAGTTTAATTAATTAATTTAAGAAATGGAATTATTCCCATTCCACCCATTTGTCAGGTGGACTTCCAGCAATGTATTTGGATCTCCAAGATTAATTTTGATGACATTCGAACAGATGCAAGTCACCGTCCCCCCCCCCAACAACAGTTAATTCAAGAAAATTAATTATTCCCACTCCTCTCATTCTTCATCTGGAGTTCCAGAAAATGGATCTCCCAGATTAATTTTGACATGGCTTGGAGGCTTCTGTCCCTCAAGGCATACTTAGGCCTAGTTTTAATTTACTCAGGTTTAGGCCTAGTTTTAATTTACTCAGGCTTAGGCCTAGTTTTAATCATGTCTGGGCTGTATCACCTCAGACTCCAGGATGTGGGGGGGGGCGCTCACATGTTTGACTGTTCCTCCCTTGGAAAAAATGTTATGATAACATAGAAAACCATTAAGAAGAAGAAGAGCTCTAGCTTTACAGTCTCACTGGTGCACTTGTTTCCAACATGGAGGGAATATTTTACCCCGGCCCTCGGTGAGCAACAGGGTGGCCAAGTATCAAGGTCTGGCCAGAAATTTCATGGTTTAAGTATCTTTCTCATAACTCCAGACAAAGGAGAAAATTTTGAGGAGAACAGAAACTGGAGGTCTGGCTGCTCTTTGGGCATCTTTCTCTGCTATACTCGGTTAAAGTGGTTTCATAAAGTGCTTTGGCTGAAGCTAGGCTTAACAGGTGCCTGCTAATGATGGGCAAACTCCTGGTAATTCTTTCTGATGCCCGCTGATACTCATCAGGTTGGTGGGTGGAAGCAGGCCGGCAAAACAGGGGGCGGGGGGCGGCAATCTTCACCAGCACGCAATGATGTCACTTCTGGTGTGATTCGGAAGGGCCAGCAATCACACTAGGGTGACGCTCTAGCAGCACGCACCTAGAAACGGGTTTTCTGGCCGTTCCTAGAGCTACCAGTGTCACTTCTGGGTAGCTCTAGGAATCACCGGGAACTATAGGGTCAGAACCGCAAATAGAAGACATCTCAGGTACAACAATCTCTCGACAACCTGAAGTAATCCTTCTGGAAACAGGCCGACTGAGTCACTTAGATAAATTTAAACAAACCATGATAGCAACTCTATTGTCGATTGCTAAGATATAAATAGCAAGGAAATGGAGAAAAGCAAAAGGCCCCTCTTTAGTGGACTGGTACAATGGTATATGGACTCGTTTTGTTTGGGGGAAATTAGACCAGTCCTCGGGACTGCAGAACTTAGATGCTTATTATAAAAACGGTCTGGTTCCCGATCATACAGTTCCTTCAAGAAAAGAAAATTATGTCATCCAATCTTTTCTTTCGTGAGCTACTTTATTTTTAAAGAAGGCTTTTAGAAAATATAAGAGTAGTTGTGTAGTTTCTCAGGTAAGTTTTGTTGTAATTATTGTACTGGAATGAAATTTGTATTATCACACCGGTCTTATTTATCGTATTGCTTTTGTTTGATATTTTAATAAATTCTGAAAAAAATAAAAAAAAGAACTTCCTCTAAGTAGACAAGGTTCTATTTGTCTTTTGAATTTTTCTCCCCAATTTCTGCCTGCCAATCAGGTGAGCATAAGTGGGTAAGGGCTCCAATTTGTAAGGGAAAATGGGAACCCTATGTACTTATTTTATTTGTACTGTGTGTGCAGATTAGAGTCCACGCACTTAACCACTACACCAAACTACCACTACACTAACCACTACACCAAACTGGTGGCCTACTTCTGGTGTAGAGGTTATTTACTACACATGGAAAGTTCCTGGTTCAATCCCTGGCAACTTCATTTTGGGACATTCCCCTGGCACCTTCAACAAAACTTGTAGCAGAATTCTTCCCTCCCTTATTCAGTCCTCGGCTATTAATTACCATCTCTCTGCTGATAATTTCCAGTTATGTTTTGCTCTAGCTGACCTGCCCTTGCCTCCTTTTCTTATTCTTCATCAGTCTCCTTGAAGTCTATTCGTGGCTGCCCGCTCATTCTTTGAAACGAAATCTTTCCAAGCCCCAAATATTTTTGTCCCCCCCCCTCCCCCAGATTTTTCTCCTGGGTTTTGTTTGTTTATGGATGAGACTGCCATTTCTCCTTCGCTTCAAACTAGAGGACTCTGTGTTATTTTTAATTCTTCTCTTTTTCTCTCCATCCTTTCTTTTCACAGTCATTAGCACTTTATTATTATGATGAAGTGGGGGCCCTCAAAAAAGTGTTGTGAATTATCTAGAAGAAAAAGAAAAAGATTTATACCCCGCCCTTCACTACCTGAAGGAGTCTCAGAGCGGCTGACAATCTCCTTTCCCTTCCCTCTCCCCACAACAGACTTCCTGTGAGCAATGCTCCCTCTAAGCTGTGGAGTCTTGTGAGCAAAACATTTTACTTTGTGAGCTACTGGCATTAAAGTTGTGAGCGAGCAATTTGGCTACTACATTCATTAGTTTGCTCTGGAGCCCTCCTTCCTGAGCTAAGACAAAAATGTGTGAGCCAGAGGCTAAAAAACTGAGCTAACTCACACTAACTCAGCTTAGAGGGAACACCGCCTGTGAGGTAGGTGGGGGTGAAAGAGCTCTTTGGAGAACTGCTTTTGAGAGAACAGCTCTGAGGGAACTTGTGACTGACCCAAGGTCACACCAGCCAGCTGCATGTGGAGGAGTAGGGAATCAAACCCGGTTCCCCCAGATTAGAGTCCACACTCCCTTCTGTGATCGCCTCCTGCCCTACTGCTGTTTCCAACTGGGAATATTTATTTTTTTTCCTTTCACGCCTGCAGTTTCCTCCAGGTCTGCAGAAACTCTCCCCCCCCCCTTTGTGGCTGGCCTCATTGTGTTACTTTGACGGTCTGCACATGGGCCAGTCTCTTTGCTGTTAAAGGGTTTATCATCCCTTTCCTCTCCTCGTCCCTCTGAAAGACAAGACGGATCAAACACAATGGCGATCAATAATGCCTGTTCATTATGTAGTTACAATTAATCAATGCGAAGTACACACAGAGGCTGAATTAAGAAACAACGTGCACACGAGTCCCTTGGGAAAGGGTCTTGTTTCACACAGGAGGACTTACTTCATAACTCTCCCTCACGGCGGACGTGTGTCTGTTTGGATTCAATCCCTGAAGAGCAAGAAGCTGAAGCTGAGGATAGGGGTAGTTTCTGATTTCATGGATCACCTGCAAGGTGGAGAAACTTTGATTTAAAAAACAACAACACACCAACGAACTCAATTCTGGAAATCTGTCCTAGGACAGGTTAAATCTATCACAGACTTGGACATTCCCATTACACTGGGAAATCTATTTTTGAATGGATGCGCTGCAAGGAATTGTTCTTCCTCCAAATTGGAAAGGGTCTCTTTTCTACTTTCTGCTGCTAAAACTGTCATTGCCACAAATTGGAAAAGGGTGGTGATACCCACCCTCTCACATTGGCATAAAAAGTTGTGGGACTTTTACATTACGGTTAAGTTTACGGATAATCTCATGCATTCTGACAAACAATCCTCATCCTCTAAAAAGAAGAGAAAAAGAGATTGGATTTATACCCTGCCCTTCACTCGGAGTCTCAGAGCAGCTTACAAACTCCCATCCCTTCCCCTCCCCTCCCCACAACAGACACCCTGTGAGGTAGGTGGGGCTGAGAGAGCTCTTTCCAGAACTGCCCTTGAGAGAACATGTCTGACAGAACTATGGTTTGCCCAAGGTCATCCAACAGCTGCAAGTGGAGAAGTGGGGCATCAAACCCAGTTCTCCCAGATTAGAGTCCACACATTTAACCACTACACTAAACTGGCTCTCTAACTTTACCTCTATGTGGTTCCCCATTTTGGAATATCTAGTTTCTCAACAGGAAATTCCCAAACTGATAGATGAACTTCATTTGTGGTGAAATTTATATTCTAGTCTTTATATCCTGCAATTTAATGTTCATATATTGCTATAATTTTTCACAACCTCTTACTTCTCCCTGTACTACCTTCTCCGTTATAAAACCAATTGTATACGTTGAATATTTTCTTACTGATATACCACGCATCATTCACAAAAATTCAATAAAACATTAATTGGAAGGAAAAAAAACCCAACAAAACAGAGACCGATTTCCCACAAGCCGCTGCTCCACCCTCGCTCGTCCCTTTCCCCTTTTAAGCGTCAATTTCCCACTACTTGCTGCGCAGCTGACCCGCAACTTCACCCGATTTTCCCTGTGACTTCTTGATCCTGTTTTTTGAGGATCGAAAAGATGCAGGGGAAATTGGGTGAAGCTGCGAGTCAAAATGCGGCCACGCAGCAAGTCGTGGGAAATTGACGAATACAATTGGGGGAAGGGAAGAGCGAGGGCGGCGCAGCTGCTTGTGGGAAATCGGTCAGAATGTGACACACAAGTGAGGAACACTGGGTATCTCCTATTCTTTTGCCCTGACCTGGGTGGCCGAAGCTAGCCTGATCTTGTCCGATCATGGCAGCTAAGCAAGGTAGGCAGGGCTTTTTTTGTAGAAAAAGCCCAGCAGGAACTCATTAGCATAATAGGCCACACCGAATAGCAGAAACTCATCAGCCTATTGGGCCACACCACTGACATCACCACTCATTAGCATATTAGGCCGCACCCCCATGTTACCAGAAGTGTGGTCATCCAGCCACACCCACCTTTTGCTTCTTATTCTGTTTACCTTGTTTGTTGTCAAAACCCAGGGCTTTTTGCATGTTAGGCCACACACCCCTAATGTAGCCAATCCGAATGAGTTTCTGCTGTTGGGTGTGGTCTATTATGCTAATGAGTTCCTGCTGGGTGTGGCCAACTCAGGAGCCAGCCGGAACTCTGTTCCTGTGCGTTCCCGCCCAAAAATAGCCCTGAAGGTAGGCAAGCTAAGCAAGTTAGTACTTGGATGGGAGACCACCAAGGAAGTCCAGGGTCACTAAGCAGAGGCAGGCAATGGCCAACCACCTCTTCTTCTTGTGTAGGATTTTCCCCAGAGAGGAATGTTCAAGATTGTTCCCCTGAAGTGGTAGAGTCCTGGAACTAGCGTTTCCAGGCTTGGTCTGGCAACCGGCGGAAGATGGGGGGAGGCGAGTACTTACTGTGTGGGGGGGTTTAAGGGTGTCGATCTTCATCACCGTGCGATGACATCACTTCCGGCACAACCCGGAAGTGCCAGCGTCACACCATGCTGATGCTCTAGGACCAGGTTGTGGCAGAAATGTCGTCATTGTGCAATGATGAAGATCACACGCTCACACCTGTTTTGCTGGTCGGCTTCTGTCCGCCAACCAGATGAGCATCAACTGCAGGCACCAACAACAATGACCCAGAGTTTGCCTGCCATTCGTGGGCACCTGGTGAGCCGACCTGGAACAGTTTCCCCATGTGACCAAACAGGCTTCAGATAGGACGCTGCTCCACTCACCATTTGCGTTGAGGATGTGCTTCGGGGGAAATGGTGTATCCTTTGAGTAGCTAAGTAATGCTGATAATGCTGTGGGACAGACCTCACTTGGAACTGATTGTGAGTCAAACCGGCATCGACGCTGAGGTCCCTGGAAGGAAGGAACCCAAACAAAGAATGACTTTCCGTCTTGCTTTCTGGACACAGCCGAACACGCGGAGTCAGGTTGCCACGCCTCAGTTGCTAGGAATTGGGACCTACCTTCCTTTACCAACTCATTTGCCACCCAAGCCACACACACTGGTGCCATTTAGGGTCGCCAGGTGCGGTTGACGGGCTGGTGGGGGACTTTCCGGGAGAGGAAAAGTATGATTGAACTCTGAAGGGAGTTCCGGCTGTCACATTTAAAGGGACGGCGTTCCTTTTAAATGCCTTCTCTCCTTTGGAAATAAAAGGGACGGGGGCAACTTCTTTTGGGGCTCATGGAATTGGACCCCTTGGTCCAATCTTTTTTTAAAACTTGGGAGGTTTGTTTCTTTTAGGAGAGGCACCAGATGCTGTGCTGAAAATTTGGTGCCTCTACCTCAAAAAACTGCCCCCTCAGAGCCCCCGATAGCCCCGGATTGATTCTTCATTATACCCTACGGGGACCAGTCTCCATAGGGTATAATGGAGCACTGAGGAGACATCCCCCCCCCTACTATCTGAAGCGGGGGGACAGCCTCCAAAACCGGGGATCCCCGGCTCCCAACTGGGTATTGGGAACCAGGCAGCCATTGTGTGGCAGCCATTTTGCGCCAAAGGTGCCCACAGACTCAAAAAGGTTGGGGACCTCTGCCCCAGAATACCATGGCACTTGAGGGAGGGGTTTCAGTGAAGAAGAGGAGGAGGAGGAGATTGGATTTATACCCCGCCCTTCACTACCCAAAGGTGTCTCAGAGCGGCTTACAAACTCCTTCCCCTCCCCCTCCCCACAACAGACACCCTGTGAGGTGGGTGGGGCTGAGAGAGCTCTGACAGAAACTGCTCTTTTTCAAGGACAGCTCTTATCAGAACTACGGCTTGCCCAAGGTCATCCAGCCAGGTGCAAGTGGAGGAGCAGGGAATCAAACCCGGTCTTCCCAGATTAGAGTCCGCGCACTTAACCACTACACCAGAGGAGGAATCAGCAAAAATTGCTCTCCCCTCTTCCAGGAGCAGAAGCATCTACTGCCAGCAGAAGGAGAGGTTAGGATTCTAGCCATGTTGCCCATTTCCTTCCCCGCTGGCATGATATTAAACATTTATACTGATAGCTTGAAGGAAATGCAATCACCCCTCGCTGGTTAATTAAACCCGCACGAAAAATTTGCTCCTTCCATTTTTAGAGATAAAAGGCAATGCTGGCGGGGAGGGAAGTCAGTCTCCAGCTCCCCGTAAATTAGGTTAAATCTTCCCCCCCCTTTCTGCGTACACCCCTCCCCCTGTGCTGCCGCTTAATATCTATTGTTCTTCCCTCTTTCTAGGAATAGCTGCATGAGTAGGGTTGCCAGATCTCCCTGGTCCCGTGGGGATTTCCCGATTTGGGGGGGCTCCTTCCCTCCCCCAGCCAACTGGCTGGAAGGGGGGAAGCCCCGCCCCCAAGAGCGACCACCCGACAACCCCCTACTACAAGATTTAACGGGCCCTCCAGATGGCCCTTTAAATCTTGCAGAAGGAGGAAGAGGGGTGGCCACGTGTGCCTGCACCCCCCCCCCACACACACCCCTCTTCCCATCAGCGTTTAAAGAGATGCTGTTTGGAAGAGACGGGGCCGTGCACCCAAAAGGCTGCCGGCGGCTCAGGGTTTGCAAGGCAGGTGCAAGTGGCAACCCGCTCTTCTAAAGCAGGGGCTGTCCATGCCTGCCCAACAAGCAGCAAGATCGCCACTTGCAAGACAAGCGTGAGCGGCTCCTGCTGCAAAAGAGTGGAAGCTGCTCACGCTTTCCCTGCGAGTGGCGATCTCATAGCTCACAGGCAGGGGTCATTTCGTAAAAAAGGAGAGGCAGGAGCTCATTAGCATCACTCATTAGCTTGACTTATTTGCATATGCCACACCCCCTGACATCACCGGAAGTGTGTCAGAAGGCACCACCCACCGCTCAGGCGCCACTGGACTGTTTTGGATTGCTAGATATCAGGTGTGGGGGGGAATGTGCAGATCTGTCCTCACGGAGGAGGGAGAGCTTGTACCTGAATAAACGTGGTCTTAAAGGTGCCACTGGACTGTTTTGGGCCGGGGTGGGGGTGGGGTGGGGGCTCTGCAACTTCCCTGGCTGCTTCTTGCTCTGACTGAGGGCTGCTGGGAGCAGGGGGCGGGCCTTGTTGCATGCGCCCACCCCCTGGGCTCTTTACTGCCGGAGCTCCGCTCCTGTGCGCTCCTGCAGGAAATGACCCCTGCTCACAGGGCAGGCATGAGCGGCACCCACTCGTGCCAGCCCTGCAGGCAGCAAAGACTTGCAGGACAGGCACAGGCAGTCCCCGCTTTCCCCCAACCATTTAAAAGGAAGGTTCCCTTTAAATGATTGGAGGAAAGTGGGGAGGGGCATGCGCACATGGCACAGCATCCGTGACGCGATGACCATGTGACATCATCACATTGGGGCGGCCACTCCCCCTCCAGGCACGCTCCACAGATCCCCCCACTGGGGGGGAAATACAACCTGGCAACCCTATGCATGAGAAATCCCAACCAATCACATAGTGAGCAAGAAGAAGAAGAGGAGGAGGAGGAGGAGGAGGAGAAGGAGGAGGAGGAGATTGGATTTATACCTAGCCCTTCACTCGGAGTCTCAGAGCTGCTTACGAACTCTTTTCCCTCCCCCTCCCCACAACAGATACCCTGTGAGGTAGGCGGGGATGAGAGAACTCTTTCCAGAATTGTCCTTGAGAGAACAGCTCTGACAGAACTATGGCTTGCCCAAGGTCATCCAGCAGCTGCAAGTGGAGGAGTGGGGAATCAAACCTGGTTCTCCCAGATTAGAGTCCGTGCACTTAACCACTACACAGCCAATCAGATCCGGCTACATGATGATGTCCCCAAGAGTAAATGAAGCCAATGGTGAGTGAGGGCAACATCCCCTGCTTTTAACCCAGCACTTGCCCTGAACCTGCAAGCACCCTTCAATTGCAGAAGAGTTGTTCCCTTCTCCAAAACATGTACCCTCTCCTTGAGCTCAGCCTGACAGATATTCCAGGAGTAGCTTGTTTTGTCTCCCTTCATTGGGTGGAATGAACAAGACCCCTAAGGCAAAGTGAGTCATTGAAAGAGTTACATTCTGGGCTCGATTTGTTATATACATCGGCCACGTGAGTGTTCAAAGCACTACAGGATAGCAGAAAGGGAAGAAACACAGAGAAGCCAATTCAAGGTTCGGCAGGATATCCAAGGAGAGATGGACTGTTACATTCCTGCAGCCGCTTAAATTATTTTTATATGTATTGTTTTATTATTTAAAGGGATACAAAATGAAAAGGGAGAAAGGGGGAAATGAAAAGCATAAAACATCATTTGTTAAACATATTTTAAGGACGTTGCATAAAAAGCATTAAAAAGTATCATAACAAATCAAAATAGGGTAAGATCACCGATACTTCAACATAATATATTTCCGTGTATATTTCCATTAAGGGCTGCGGTGGCTCAGTGGTTAAGATGCTGAGCTGCAGACCGGAAGGTCGGTAGTTCAGCAGTTCGAGACCCGAGTTCCGCATGACGGAGTGAGCTCCCGTCTCTGGCTCCAGCTCCTGCCAACCTAGCAGTTCGAAAGCAAGAAATTGCAAGTTGATAAATAGGTACCACTTCGGTGGGAAGGTAACAGCGTTCCGTGCGCCTCGGCATCTAGTCATGATGGCCACATGACCATGGAATATAAAAGAGGGAGTAAATGAAGGGGTTTTTTTGTCTCTTGCTAGGATTGCTGTTTGTTAAAGCAATCTGAATAGATTCGATAACAACTGAGATCTTGTTAGCAAGGATATAGGAGATATAGGTCAGGTGAGAATAGTTAGATCTAGATTGGCTTTAATTTATTCATCTACCTTCAATGAAATGGCTTATAAATATCTAGGTACTCAATATTCTAATATATAGCTCCGTAGGAAGGTATTTGATAACTTAATAATAGAATAATTTTGGGGAGCTATGTAGAGATATATGAAATACGCGATTCGTAAAATAAATAAGATGATAAATTAATAGAGAGATAAAATGAATAACTTATTATTAATTGTATGATAACTATCTTGGATGTGTTAAAATATGTGATTACTTTGTTATGTTTGTTTTGAAAATCAATAAAAAGGTTATTTAAAAAAAGGAAATGTCTTCGGACAGCGCTGGCTCTTCAGCATGGAAACAGAGATGAGCATCGCATTGCATCCCTAGAGTCAGATTCGGCTGGCTTTCGAGCAAGGGGAAGCTTTACCTTTACTTTATATTTCCATAATTTCCTATCTATAGGGCTAGGTAGGGAAGCGTATAAGCAAGAAACAGAAAAAAAGAAAAGATTTTCCTTATCTTTATACAAGGTTTATCCTATCATATAATAACCAGTGAATGTGTAATTATAAAAGATTAATGAGCATCGCTACGAGAATATGATGATACGATCTGAGTCTTAATCAATCTAAATCTCTTTGCAACTCCTCTAACAGCTTTATCTAGTCTGTGTAGTTTCTTCATTCTTAATCCAAGGGCCGGCCCCTCGCTTGCCTGACCTGATCACGGGATCCACACCTGTCTGGTCCCTGAGATTCCGCACCAAGCGTGCTCAGAGGCAGGCTAGACGTTAACAGCAGCTACGGGTCCAACACATTGGCCACCAACACCATTTTAGAGAAGATGTTGTCTGTTTTAAACAAATGAGGGCTTGATCCTGATTGAGCCTGTGGCATGGAGAGACTGGGATGCCAGCCTCCAGGTGGGGCCTGGGGATCCCCCGGAATTACAGCTCATCTCCAGACTACAGAGATCAGCTCCCCTGGAGAGAATGGAGAGGGAGAAGAAGAGGAGAAGGAGGAGATTGGATTTATGCCCCCGCCCTTCACTACCCAAAGGAGTCTCAGAGCGGCTGACAAACTCCTTTCCCTTCCCCTCCCCACAACAGACACCCTGTGAGGTAGGTGGGGCTG